AAGTGTAGTTCTTTTAAACAATCATTATCAGAAGGTGTTAACTATCCTTCCAAGTTATATCGCTACTGTGAGAGCGATCGATGCAACATTTTCAGGACTGAAATCCTCTATTGTGAAACATCAACATGGAGGGTAAGTAGATATTATGTTGAAAAAGCTGTAGTTTCGATTTAAAATGCGAAACAATCATGTTTGCGTGTGGATGCGCACATTTTCGACTAACTGATGGCATTGTCAAATCAGCGCATTTTATCCAACTTAAAAATTTGATTAAATCGCACTGAGTCATTTCCCCACAAAATTCTTCGGAGATCGAAAAGAACTACACTTTGCCTTCCAAAATCCAGATTTTCAGTCGATTATTTTGTTTAGTGAATAGTTAAATAACGGGTTACTTTTTACCTATTTTTAATCTAGCTAGAAGATGGTCGGATAAATTCAAATAGATTGTGTATACAAAACAATCAACAATTGCTCAAATTGCTGTCAACATATGTTTTGATGTTGTTTTTCAAGATTTGATACTTTTCATCGGTCCAAGTGTTTTAAATTCGTGGCGCGACGCTCCGAGATTCGTCGACAAAATTTTGAGCTTCAAAAGCCGCACTTTGGCGGAATTCAATCATTATCGATTTTCTCTAAAATAAATCGATATTCAGCTAAGCGAAGTATGCAGTGATTTATTTTTCATTGAGACCTACATAACTCTGGAATATGGGCGAAATTGATTTTTCAGCTGTTGCCACTTAATGTGTGACCACTGGTAACATTCGCTCTTAAGTCGGACATCCCAGTTTGAATTTTTTGTGCATGAGCCACAATGAATTCAGTACATTTCCTATTCTAAAAAAAAAATTAGTTTTTTCTTTTTCCTGTTAGCAAAATAGACAGAGCACTGGAAATGGAAACTCATCCAACTAACTTACAGGGACAACCCAGATGAAAAGAAAAACAGTTACAAGCAAAGGAAAGGCAAAATTTAAGCTTGCAAACTCTCTGTAACACGACAAATCAACCTATGGAAGAGAAAATTAGACAAGAAGAGAATTTATACCCAATAAGACTGCGAGCAGTGGAAGAACAGTTGGCGCATTGTCAAGGACAACTGAAGGAAAAAGAATTAGAACAGGCCAACCTTTTGAGGGAAAAAGAACAACAACACAATACCTTGCACCAGAAGCTGACAAACTTACAAGGTCAATTACGAGAGAAAGAGTTGCTGAAGAACAGTATCCAAGAGCAACTGAACAGAAAGGTGCAACAGGTCGGTAACCTAGAAGAACAGCTGAAAACAAAAGATCGAGAAAGGATTGAAATTGAAAGAAGTCTGTCAGCGGCTCAATCAGCATTACGGGTACATCGGGCTCAAGTTGTTACCTTGGAGAGACAGCTGATAACGAAAGACCAGGAAAAACATGAACTTGAAAGAACGCTTGCAGCAGCTCAGCAGGTTTTACGTGCGGAAAATCAGGCACAAAACTTACCTGACTGGGTGATTCCCCGCAATCAAATTCAACTAACAGAGAAAATTCTTGGGCGTGGTGCCTGGGGAGAAGTTGTGGAAGGGAAGTATTGCGGTTATGCCGTTGCTGTGAAAAGAATTCATAATATTATTATCTCCCCTTATAACCGCCGACTGTTTGAGCGAGAAATGGACATTGCCTCAAGATGCCGTCACCCTTGTTTGTTGCAGTTCATTGGAACAACAAACAT